GATGTTGAATCAAAGATGAAATTAAAGAAACTTTGATTAAAGAAAATATTTCAACTGATGAAGATGTTCACAACCGTAGTTCAGTTTCATCTGATGAAGAAGATCAATCTGACTGTTGTAATCAAAAGACCAAAGGTATGGTTTTACTTGACAGGAATAATATCAAAAAGCCATCTCGTTATGATCCTTTCGTTATGTTTGCATTATGTGAAGTACTTGAACCAGTGAGCTACAAAGATGCCATTCAAAGTGATGAAAAAGATGAATGGTTTAAAGCCATGAACAGTGAAATGCAGTCATTAAAGGAAAATCAAACGTGGGATTTGGTAAGTCTTCCAAAAGGTCATAAGGCAATACCATGCAAATGGGTCTACAAGGTAAAACACAATCCAGATGGTTCTGTTGAACGTTTTAAAGCCAGGCTAATGGTAAAAGGTTTTTCTCAAAAAAATGGAATTGACTATGAAGAAACCTATAGTCCTGTGGTCAGAAGTTCAACTATAAGAACACTATTAAGTGTTGCTGCAAATGAAAAGATGTCACTCATGCAGTTTGATGTGTCAACAGCATTTCTTTACAGCAAACTAGATGAAGATATTTACATAAAGCAACCTGAAGGTTTTAAAGATAATTCAGGAAGAGTCTGTAAACTCAAGCGAAGTCTCTATGGACTTAAACAAGCTCCAAGATGTTGGAACAAACGCTTTGCTGAATTCTTGAAAAAGAGACATTTCAAACAAAGCGATGCAGATACTTGTTTGTTCATTAGAATACAGGGAGGAAAAAAACTCATACTTGCACTGTATGTTGATGATGGACTAGTTGCAGGAACCGATAAAGAAGAACTAAAAATATTTGAAAAAGAATTAAAGTCAGAGTTCAAGATAACATCTAAACCTGCAACATATATCCTTGGATTAGAGATTAATCAAGATGAGAAGGGAAATATTAATGTCAGTCAGTCATCCTATACAAGAATGATTCTTGAAAAGTTTGGGATGAGTCAGTGTAAATCCTGTACAACTCCGATTTCAAAATCTGAGGAGTTCAATGAAAACAAAAAATGAACATGAGGAAGTGAAATTTCCTTACAAATCAGCAGTTGGTGCATTGATGTACTTGATGACGGGAACAAGACCAGATATTGCATATGCAGTTGGAGTAGCATCCAGAAGCTTAGAGAAACCCAGCAAGTCCAATGTAGCACAAGTTAAGCAAATTTTCAGATATTTGCAAGGAACAGCTGATGTCGGTATTGTTTACAAGTCTGGTCAAAACAATACACTTATAGCCTACAGTGATGCAGATCATGGAGGAGATAAATCTAGTGGAAGATCGACATCAGGTGTAATCTGTATGTTTGGAGGAAGCGTGATCAGTTGGTTTAGCCAACGTCAACCCTCAGTTGCGATTTCAACTACTGAAGCAGAAATCGTTGCCGCAAGTGAAGCAGCTCGTGAAGTGATATGGCTCAAACGATTGTTGAACGACATTGTAGATCTAAAGAATAAGCCAGAAATTTTTGTCGACAATGAAGCAGCAATTCGTTTAGCACACAATCCAGAACTTCACAGAAGAACAAAGCACATCCACATTAGACATTTCTTTGTCAGAGAAAAGGTTGCAGAAGAAGAAGTTTCAGTTGAACGAGTTGCGACAGAACTTCAAGTTGCTGATGCTCTGACAAAACCAATGGTAGGACCAAGACTAAAAAATCTGATGTGTGCGATGGGTCTTCAGAACATTTAGGTTAAGGTCATCTAATGTTTTAAATAAAATGAGGTGTTGAGTTTTGTTTTATATTAAAACATTATATACATTTATTTTTCTTTGGACCCAATGTTCTTTGCTTTGTATGTAACTTCACTTTTCCTTTTTTTTGTTGATCCGGTGGATAATAAACAAGTCGAGAACGTTGCTTGGTTTATTTCTCTTCTTTTAATGTCTTTCAATATTATATCAATTAATTAAACGATCTACGTGACAAGAAATTTAACATAAAATTCAAAAGCTTTATGGTTTATAACATAAAGAAATTTATGTTGATATGTTTCCTATAAGTTGATGATTCTTGTTTTTATGGAATTTTTTTTAATGAATGTCTTCTTCCTAAGATTTCTGCACGATTTTGTTTAGGTGTGAATGATACAATGCCTGAAATAAGTATTTTTAAGACATTTTGTCAACAATATGACGGCTGTTTCCTTCAACTACATTGGAAAAGTACCGGTTTAAATTTTAGAATAATTGGTAGACAAAGCATATGTTGTTAGACGTTATAATAACCAATAAATAAAAATATATTATATATATACACACATATACAAAGATACAGAAACAGTTTCTATATCTATGTATCAATCAATCAATCTTCGTTTCGCGTCCAGAGACCCGGTTCCCCGAGGTAGGACGTTCTATATCTATGTATATGTTACGCATATTTAAGTGTTCCGTTCATCATTTTGAATAACCGCTAACCCTCCTACCTTCAAAAATATAATCACATCATGTTTAATTAATAAATAATATACTAATATCTAAATCAATATTAAATGTGAGAAAACACAGTTTTATTGACAGGGAGACCAAAAAAATTTTTTTAAATATGTAAATTCGATAAAATTTAACATAAAAAAATAGTTCCTCAAACAAAAAAAAGTTAACAAAAATGAGAGTGGATGATGGGAGTATGCGTTAGGACATTTCCATGTAGTCAGAGTCTAATGGATCGATGGTCTGATGCTGTTGCTCCTGCTGTTGGTGGTGGCTGACACTCCTGTCGCTGATCGTCTGGGTCGGCTGTGAGGTACAAGTTGATATCTCTCAATGGAAATTATGAAAGAATTCCGATAATAAATTATAAAATTGTCACAAACTATGACAAATTTTATGATGCAAAATCGCTGCAGTAAGTTGATGAAAACAAAATTTGCGAAATTTACTTTGAAATGAACAATTTCTACTGAACCAGTGTAGTGATCCCAACAGCAGCAGGATGGCAAACAATAATGCCGCCGTCATTATCTTGACAGTTTTCATGATTAAGCAGCTCAATAGATGGCATGGCGGAGTCTTCTGTAGTCATCATCTCACCATTGGCCAACGAAAGGACGTCGTAACCGAGGTTCTTCAGCAGGTTGATGTCGTTGGTCACTTGCACATACAACTTCATCTCATCTGGTCAGTTTGCATGGTTAGAAAGATGATACAGTTGTTCACTTTTATATTTACTGTTGTTAGTTTGAATAAAACGTAAGAGAAACAAAGTGGTAAAAAAATCCAGTTTTAAAAAATAACAGTTCCTCGTGAGCCAACCTCCAAACAAGGTGCCTGTCATCGTACTCAGTTGCCAGGTAGACTCGTAATTGCCTGGTTGTTCGGGGGTGATCAGGTCCAGGCCCACCTTGGCTACAGCAAAGGGGCCCAATCGCTCAACTGAAACTCGGTCAACCAAGGACATCTGCGTGCCACTGATGAAGCGAAGTGTACAACCTGCCGGCCAGTGAGCAAGGCCTGCATGGTGGATGCATGGTTGGATGGATGCATCGAACGAGTGCATGGATGCATGCATCGAACGAGTGGAGGAAGATAAAAATAAATATTGACTGTCTGTGTACTGCATCTCTCTCTAAAATAAATTATATTTACACATAAATTTCTGTCCAAATACATTTAATCTTGTAAGAAAATAAAATTTTGTTAGATTAAAACGAAATTATGAAAATATAATATTTTTATAGCTCAACGATGGAGAAAGTAGAGAAGTTGTTTGCAAGAGGGGTTGTTTCCTACCAAGTTGTTCATAAGAAAAAAAGTAAAAATTACAGAGAGAATGTGTTCGTCTGTTGACATTAGGAATGAATTTTAAACAGGGGGCAGAACATTTTGGATGAACAACTAATTATATCCATTTAATTGAGTACGATGAGTGAATGGTTTTTCAGGATACAAAAACATAGGTCTACAAACTTACACGAGAATTTGATGATTTAATTAGGCTACCTTATAAAATTGCTAACAATATAAGTGAACAATTAGTTAATGATTGATACAAGAATGGAATGAAATACAATGTTGACCATTGTCCGAAACGTACACTAAAACTACGTACACATGCGTCAAACTTTCTTGCACTTCAAACAATTGATTCGTAAAAGATTACTTTAAAAAAATATTTAAATTAAGCAGAGTAAGTCCCGTTCACCATTATTTTTGACATCCCAGCAGTGATGAAACTTGAAGTTGGGTGGTCTGATGAGGAGCTGACGATCACCTTCCTGAGAGGCAGATGGCACAATCGACGTTTCAGTTGTTGTTTCCAAGAGGAATGGAGAGGTCGCAAAGAGGTCAGAGGTCGAGGAAGATGATTCATTTGAGGTGATAGATGGCAACAATGTTTGGTCGTAATTTAGTTCAAAATATGATCCCACAGCAGCTGGCAGGTTCCTGGAAACGTTTTTTTTGAAACTATCCATTTTACTTGCGCAGATGAAAACTTTTTCCTATACCATACTCCAGAACACTCACACACAAATGTGTTAAATTCAAGGACACATTTCAATTGAAATAAAATAGATTAAAAATATATTAAAAATAAAATAAAAAACAAACCAGTTGTTCATCTCCAAATAGAAAGCACAGACTTCTCTATCCGGTTTGCTGCTCCCGAACAAGTTCTCAAACTGATTGATGAGTGCCTCCTTGTCCTGAGTAGCCATGCAGCTGAACTGTTGCAAAAGGATGGTGTCGACATCCACATCGCTGCTACTGTTGTTGCTACTACTTCCTACCTCCATTCTTTTTTACTTTATATTTTGATTTGTTCAGCCAAAAGTTACATTCAAACTTCTATTTTTCCAATTTAATTTCTGTTTAGCATTTAGGGGAGGAGCAAATAATACCAATATTAATATATATATATATATATATATATATATATATATATATAATACAGCAAGCAACCTTTATTTTATAAAGAAATTACTTTGTATTATCTGCTTACTATGCCAACAATTCCTACCAATCCACTATTACTACACTAGCTGTTGTTACACTTTTGGAGAGAAAAAAAAACAACTTTTAAAGAAAATTTTACAATCTGATCAATATGTGTATAACAGAGTAAAATTAAAGTACTGATGAGTAAAAATCTACAGATAAGAATAGGTTAAAATAATAACAAATATGCAATACAATGTAATATTGTACAATACAGAGTTTGTGATTTGCAGACTAAATAATTTCCCAAAAATGTTTATTATTCTAATATAAAAAAATTTAATTAATACTTTTTTATTAAGAGAAAAATTATCAATTTTAAACTTGAATTGAATGAACAAAACAAAGACAGTAGTCAGTAGTCACCAGTTAATATGTTAATTTTACATTTATAATTATAAAATTATTAATAAATGAAATTTGACAGCATGTAAAATGTGCAGCATCAAATCAAATCCAGCACAGTATATTATATATATTATATATATACCAACTTAACTACTTAATTAAATAAACTTAACTAACTAGCTAGTGGCATTCACTTTGTATTTTTTAAATTTCTACTGTTTGCTTGGTGACTCGTTTGTCAATTACGCGAGTTGTAATGTGTGGCAAGTTAAACTTTTAATTAATAAATGTTAAAACTTCTTACTTAACATATCATCAATTCAAGAAGAAAGTGAAGTTTTTTAGAATTTAGTTTTAGACTTTTAGAAATTTAGAGGTTTAGTAAGTTTAGTAATTTAGTTAGATGGCTGGTGGGTGGAAATTAAAAACGAAGTCTATTCACGAGTAAATTTGAAAAAACTCGCGAGGATGAGTGAATGAGCGGAGGGTCCTTCCTTAAAAATCTGACGAAAGGTTAGAACGAATCGATTAGGGAAAATATTTAAATAAAAAATCACGAGTGTTATTGTTGCAGCTGTTTACGTGACGTAACATCCCAACACCAGGTTCCATTTTAGTTGCATGTTTGCCGTAATTAACTGATAGATGAACGGTTGGCACCTCTAGGTTCTTTGTGGACTGTACGTTACACGTGACACAGCAAAGGAATATTATTAGGTAGAATATATTAGATATATTACACATGTCCATGGGTAGAGTTATACAAAGTGGAACAAAATTTGATTTGTTTTATAAAAATTGTATAGCCAATGAAGAATGGCCAGCTTTTTTAGTTTTTAGTAGATAACAAGAGGAACAAAAGAACCAATTATTCTTTTTTTGTTTATTTATCGTTTATATTATTATTACTGTTGTCATTCTTTCATCTTATTTCTAGTGCTTTATTCTTTCAGGACATTGGCGACCATCGACATTCGCAAAACCCGATCTTTAACAATTTGCAGTAGTTGAAATGTGGTGATACTGAACTGGTGATATTGCTCATCTTCAGTTTTGAGCTCACTGACATATAATAGATTCAATGTGGTGATATTGCTATCAAATGCAATGTGGGTGATGCCTTGTTTCATGTGTTGTTTCACGTGCACCGGTGTTTAATTGTAGATGCCACTGAAAAATATTGAAAAGGGAATTGTAATAAATTTGATTGATTGGTGGTTGGATGGTTAGCTGGCTGGCTGGTTGGTTGGTTGGTTGGTTGATTGGTTGGTTGGTTGGTTGGTTGGCTGGTTGGTTGGTTGGTTGGTTGGCTGGCTGGTTGGTTGGTTTGTTTGTTGGTTGGTTTGTTGTTTGGTTGGTTGGTTTGTTGGTTGGTTGGTTGGTTTGTTTGTTTGTTTGTTTGTTGGTTGGATGGTTTGTTGGTTGGTTGGTTGGTTGGTTGGTTGGTCGGTCGGTAGCTGCAGCGGCTCAATTAATAGAAACTTAACGAACATTGAATCATATGAAAGAAATTATGCAAAAAATTTGGTATATCTTTTTTGGTAGTATTATTAATTAATTAATAGGTTTTTCTATATCATTATAATATAATTTGTAGCAATTACTTGACAAAAATATAAATGAAAAATATTTAAATAATAAATATGACGTGTTATAATTGTGAACAACATCAACTTTTATCTCTTTTTTTGTTGCAAATAAGAAAACGATATTTTCATTTCGATGCACTAAATAGGTGTGAATTTCAAAACGAAGGAACACGAAAGCTCTCTAAGTAGACAGTTTATTTAATCTAATTGTTGTTGAATCTTAATACAAAAATACATTCTGACGAAGAGGTTTTTAATTAAAAATTAGACATAAATGCTCAGACAGCCGGTAAATAAGTTATAAAATGGTAGCAACTAAACAGTAATAATTAATAAGCAATGAACTTTCAAATAATGAACTACAGAGATTTCTAATTCTACGAGTTTCAAATCTACGAGACAAGTATTGAACTATAACATACAAAATTTTTAAATTACGTACGGTACATAGAACATTCCATGCCATTAGAGGTGAGCAGTTGATATTACACACACACACACCACACACACACGCACACACACAAAATCAAACACACACATGCAGAATACAGTTGAAATACAAATTATTGCGCGTTCAATAGCAACAAATTAATTGATTTTTATATAACGTACAATCGCTATAAATCTAAATCTTGTAAGTTTTTACAGAATTTCACCAAAAAAGAAAACAGTCTAATTTGGTCATTAATTAATAAATAGTTTAAAATTATACACAAACTCAAAAACTTATACATAAAACTAAAAATCTTAGCTTCTAAATAAGCTCAGCACAGAATAAAAACAAAATAATTAAATTTCTCTTTTCCAATTTAATAGCGAAAACTTCATCAAAATTAAATTATTTATTTAAAGCGAATCAATATTGATGGCAATATAATTAACATTACGTAACCTCTGGAATAAACGCAGCTAGGAAGATATGAATGAATTAACTAATTAGCTAATTGATTGGTTAATTAATTAACAGATTACTTAACGATGAAAACTTCCAGCGTTTTGAGTTTAACAAAATTTGAAATGTGAAAGACGAGTTTTAATAATTAATTAACTAATTAGTCAATTAACTAATTATTATTAATTATAATTAATTAATTAATTAATTAATTGAGTGGTCAAACACTGTCTATGTATTTCTGTATTATGCTAATACATCTACACATAAGAAAACACATTACATTAGGTTTGATAATAAATAAAATTTATAACTACATACAAATATAATCGCATGTACATTATCACCGTCATCATCATCATTTTCATCATCATCATCGACCATCGTCACTATTATCATCTTCATTATCATCAACGTGTAATCGTCAGTATCATTATCATTAGTATTACGTCATCGTCACGTCATCACGTGAACATTTTTTTCAACAAATTCTAGGTTACAGTTTCTGCGTCTGTCAGATCCTAATTTTTAAATAATAATAATAAAAAGAGTCAAAAAAGGTTTCAAATTTGGCTGGAGCTACATTTTCTTTCTTTCCTCAAAACGCGCCCCTACTTGGATGAAACGATGGCTACTATGGCAACGTATTGCTGTTTGTGTTGATTGAGAGACAAGAGTTCTTTGTGTGTTTAAAAATTTGTATACAGTTACAAAAACACCATACAAGCACACACGCACACGCAAACACAAACAAACAGACACTCACTCACACACGTACACACATTGTTAACGTCACGTACATGCATGTAGATTTATATAAAAAAAGCTAGTTACAATGCACATACACATACACGGATATATTATATTAATATAATACTTCAAACAACTCAAGTATAAATAATTTTTATTAAAAAGGGTCATTTATATGTACGTTATCTCTGTGTGTGTGTGTATATATGTGTGTGTTTGTATGTGTTATTGTGTTATTCGTGTATGTGTGTTGTGTGTGATCCGTATATATATATTATATAAATATGTGTGTGTGTGTGTGTGTGTGTGTAGGTATGTGTGGTGTGTGTGTGTCAAAAATACCATACTAACCATCACAACATGTTATATCTAACAAACTAACTTTGACTTGCACAGAACACATTGTATTACGGTGACGTCACACTCATTACAGCATTAATAACATTGCACACATTAATAATATAAATAATGGTAATAATAAATAACTAAATTTTTAACACAAACATAAGAATTAACATTATTTAATATTAATTTATTTGTTCGGGTTTCTATATTTAGCCACTTAAATAATTAACTATTAATGGAACTTTGTGTGACTGTCATTTTATATCTATTAAATTATCTCAAAAATTCACCTTTCAACAAGGTTACTTCATGATACTTTAATACTTAGCTTTAATTACCTCTTTTGGTTACTCTTTAGTTTTGGGTTATTTCGTATTCTTTCAGGTCTATGAATTTTTGTTTCTAAAAATAATGACGTACATTCTGTGGACTGGAAAGTTGCCCGTCTATTGTGGCTTTTTGATAGATTAATTTTCAGTCCATTCATCATTGACTAAATATAAGAAATCAATCCCTAATTTACGAATATTTGATTAAATTTTGTTTAACATTTACTATGGTGCGCCGATCCACCATTTCATTTACCTAATTTCCTTCTCCCTCTCTTTCTCTCACCCTCTCTCTCTCTCACACTCTCTTTCTTTCTATCTTTCTTACTCTCTCTCTACTTAACACTTCTGACACTGAGCAGCTAACTGGGCCGGATTGGGAACGTCGGTTAGCTTCCTGGTTGGTCCATTTATTCCTCCCAGCCCTCCCCCGATGACGTTTTGAGGCATGCCCCCTCCAGCCCCCGTTGTATTTGCATCCAAACTTCGAGCCATTCTGTCGCAGATGAGGTAGACAAGTCTGTCGAACACAACTCCCACGTTCACGTTATCCTTCGCGGAACTTTCGTAGAACTCCAAACCTTCAAAATGAATTCAACGGAAAAGAATTAATAACATCAATTTATTAATAACGGATATTATTTACGTTTTAGAAATTTATAAAAAATTATAATAAATAAAACGCACACATACGCACGCACGCACACAAGCATAGCATACACAACAATTCATGTATGTATTATAGAAAACATAACAATTTAACTACAAATTGACCAGCAACCTAATTGGTCGGCCAATCTCTTGCCCCTTTCTGTAGAGACGACCCTCTCGTGTTCCATGTCACTCTTGTTGCCCACCAGGATGACCTGCGCGTTGTCCCACGAGTAAGTTTTAATCTGGGTGCACCTGTACAATTTTTTGTTCTCCATCGAAGTTAAAAATAATTCAACTTTCATAATCAAATAAATCATTTCTATAAATTTTTTTTTACTTCGAAACAGTTATTATTATTAATTGTTTTTTTTTGTTAGCGACACTTCGATGTCGACATCACCTGGTTGTGGTTTTTGCGTTCTCAGACTAAAACTCCAACTACTGATCGATCGATTTGAAGCAGGATTTTATTTATTCATTCATTTATTTTTCATTTCTAAAATGTGAAAAATGAAGCATGAAAATGTATGCCACATGCGAAACATTTAAGAATTGAAAAAACATCAATAGCAGGAGCACAAATTTTGCTTACATTTTTTGACATCTAAAAGTGACTAACTAACTAACCAGTCTTGTACAGCGTTGAAGGAATCTTCGTTTGTGATGTCATACATCAGGATGAATCCCATGGCACCCCTGAAATTGGATGGAATAGATGGAAAATTTGAATGGATTGGAAAAATTGGATAGTAGATTGGAAAAATTTGATGAATTGGAAAAAATGGATGAATTAGAAAAATTGGATAGAATTGAAAAGTTGAATAGATTGGAAAAATTGGATAGATTAGAAAAATCGGATAGGTTGGAAAAATTTATTTATTCATCGATTAATAATTTTTTAAGATCATAAATTTTTTAAGATGAGTCAAGCAGGAAAAATAATTTATCCAATTTATAGATATATTTTTTATCAATTTAAATACTTTAATTTACATCAGTTACTCCAACCAGGTATATTTTTAAAGTTTAATTCTTAAGTTGATCTAAAACTTACGAGAAAAAAAGTACTTCGATGTTAGCAAAGTTGAGAATAGCAAAACATCGCAGTGCATTTAACATGTTCGTACATGATGGTTTATCAACTAAAAGTCGCTTGGATGTGAAAATTTTAAAAATTTCTCTAGTCTGCATTATGGAAAAACTAGTCTTTATGACCCATCCTTGGCTTAAAATCGAAATAAGAAAAGAAAAAAATGAATGAATGAATTAATTAATTAATTAAATGAATGAATAAGTGAATGAACTAATAAATGAATTAATTATATTTAATAAAATATTGAAACGGTAGTCTCATTGCGAACCTGTAATAAGCTGTAGTGATCGTTCTATACCTCTCCTGTCCAGCCGTATCCTGCATACAAATACATCAGTGTGTGTAAGTCTATGACAAATAAATGCTTGTAAGTACCATTGTAATTATAGTCCTTCAAAATGTGAATGCATAATGGTTATAAAAAATGACATTTTACCAAACGTAGATTGTAAAATTTTTAATAGTTATAAAATGTTCATTTAATTAATTTGGGATTTTAATCATTGATCCTCGTAGCGTTAAGTTAGTCAGGAAATGTTTCAAAATGGAATCGAGCTGGCTATTGACGGTTTTAAGTAGGAAATATTGTGACGGTTTATTTTATGAAAATGTTTCTTTGAGTTCTGTGCAGAAAAAACTTCAATTGATATTACAAATTAGCTAAAAGTAATGAATCTGGAATTGTGGAAATCAGGTCCTTCCAGAGGGGATGATTCCATTACCTTCAATCATTTTGAGCATGTTTTTGAACAGTATGTATTTGTAATCACAAGATATAAATATGTGCGCGCGTGTGTGTTGTGTGTATGTGTGTGTCTGTGTGTGTGTGTCTGTGTGTGTGTGCGTGCGTGCGTGCGTGTGTGTGCGTGTACAAATACATACACAGCAGCCAAATATGTCATTTGAGGACAGAGCACGTTTTCAGACACGTTGTTACTGTGCTTCACTTCATTCACTGTGTTTCACTGAGTTGTTATTTCGTGCTTTTCAAATAAAAAATGACAATAAACCAATATAAGCATTCTTTGGTTCTCAGTCACAGAGCACTTGCTGTACATTAGCTCTGAATGGCAACGTGTTTTTAAGTTATTATGTTCGGTGAAATAATAATTTTTTCTGTGAACATTGGAAACGCTATGCAGGAACATTTCGCACGCACACAGACACGCACACACACACACACACACACACACACACACACATACACACACACTAGATGCAGAGTTATGGCTCTTCAAGTACTCCAGCATACACAAACAGGTAAACACACCAACACTAACATACATTTCATGATACGCAACAAGGATGAAATGGAAGGATGGTGGAGTAAGAAGTGGAGTCAGTCATAAAATATTGATTGGACTGTTACATTAAAAAAAAGAGTCAGATAAATCAAGCAGACAAACAAGTTATTAATAAAGAGACTTGTGTTCACCGTTTAAAACTAATAAAATTTACATATATACAAATAGAAATAGATGAATAAATGATTGAGTGGGTAGATGAAAAATATAATAATAAACAACCCGTAAGATGAATGGTTGCCAAAATGAAAAATTATTGCCAAACATAAACGGACGATAAAATTATTGATTAGTCGCAACTTTTGTGCAACTTGCAAATCAGGCTCTGGCTGCTTTTTATTTATTCTTTTTCCATCTCATATTCAGAATGTTTCTGCATCTGCTGGGGTGTAAATCAGGCTATTTTCAAAATTTTGGTTGGGTAGTTTTGTCAGGAGATTCGACAATATCAGTTAAGTAAACAAATGTTTGTTTGCTGAGCTGTCTCGCGCTTTTTCATGAAGCTTAACAAGCTTGAAATCGAAAATGTGTGGGAAGGCACTCTTTATTGACCTCTAGTGATCTCTGATCTTTTCAAATGATAATTTTTCTCTATATGATTTGCAATTATTTTCTTTTTTCTTACTGAATGATGAAACACATTTAATTGTGGCCCCGTATCATTTGAAAAGTTTAGAAGTGAATAATTGTTGAGTTGAAAATGTTTTTATAAGTTAATGGCTCGGTCACGCATTCTCAAAAATCTTCTAGCGAAAGTTAGCATCCAATGATGATAATTTGTGATCTCAATGAACTAACTCTTTTTTAAAAATTTAAAAAAATATTTCGAGTTGTTTCTTTTCATTATTTGTGAAATTAAGCGTATTAAATTTGAATAGTCCTCTTCTTGAAACATTGCTTATTTTAATATTTCACCAAAAGACCGCCATTGCGATTTCGTCACTGTGGTCTACGCATGCACAGAACAACACAACACGACTACGAAACAACAAAACTATCAATTAGAAGCATCACATTCAATGTAAAATATTATTACACGGTAATGGAATGACTGAAATACGACATTACATGACAAAACTTCACAACCTGTCAATAATGAATATCAAACAATCAGATTAAAACAACAATAGTCAACCGTAAATAGCCAGACCATCCATTGTAATTAGTTTGAAAAATGAACATGGAACGTAAAATTTGTGGAAACTCGGAGAAGAAAAATTGAAGGAACATGAAAAATAAAAATTGAAAAAACTTGGAAAATAAAAATAGAAGGAACTGACCCAAATTTGTAGCTTGATATTCTTCCCATGCTGGTGAACAGTTTTAACTTTGAAATCGATGCCGACCGTACTTACGAAGGAGGCTGCAAACGAGTTGTCGGAGTAACGGAAGAGGAAGGATGTCTTGCCGACGCTGCTGTTGCCTGCATAGGTCAGTCAGTTCATTACGTACAATCATTACATTACATTTATCTCACTGTCATATCAACATCATCATATCAAAATTACATCTCATCCTAAACTATTGCCTTGCATGCTGTAACGGTTTCTGCGTTCGCAAGATTCTGATTTTTTAAAGGATAATAAAAAACATTACATTTAATAAATCAAATTTTTACACATTCTCAGACATAGCGTTCAAACATATAAGCACATTTGATTAATAATTATTTTTAATTTATTTATTTATCTATATATTTAACAAAAAATTAATCTAGTTGTAAATATATGCACGTAAGAATATAATTTTTTGTATCTGGTTGCATCAGCTCCATTAGATCAAACACTCGAAAAATCACAGAGGTTCAGGCGTTTGTCAAATTATTATAACTTTCATTGCAATAATTTTTTGCATTAGATATCAAGTGAATGACTCTTAAAATTGAAATATAATAAATTTATAATCTGAGCTCGACCGTTTTGAATAGTTACACTGGCTGCTCGCTTCGTACAAATTGACCTAATTACACTGAATGAATGATTTGGTTCATATGTAATACCTGATGAATGTATCAAAATTTCGTTTCTCAGTTTTAATGAGCATTAAACGTTTTCATTTCAAATGTAATTCTCTGTCTATAGAGCTTTGATGGAATTTTGCAATGGTAATTAGAGTTATAAAAATTTTACAAAATGAGAATGATATATTTACTTGCACAAACCAAACAGTGTACAGACAACATATTTTGAACTTCCATACACTACACACGTGCATTGCACATGCACGTATATGTAGTCTCAGATGAATGTTTGTTTGTGCTGTGCACGGCTCTGTGTATGTGGAGAGTAGAGAACTGGATTGCACAAATCAATACATGTTCATCCAACGTTCAAGCAGACGAAATACTGGTTCATGCAAATGTAACCAATACATTATATGTGATGTAATGTATGCGTGTGTGCTGCTGTTTTGAGGTTTGTGTCAGTTTACGAAGCACAAGCAAATATAATAACCACATTTATTTCATAAATGCTACTTTGTAATTTATTTATTCATTAAGTATTTGCGTTTTTGCGCATAGTTTTATGTTTGGGTACACTTTTTGTATAACTATACAAACGAAGCAGTGTACAAATTACAGATTTTGGACTTACATACAATACACACAGTTAAATAAACATTTTTTGGTTTTAATGATTCACATAATGAAAAACTTCAATTAGATTTTTTTAAGAGTTTGTACATAACATAAATAATGGTACACGAATAGAAAATTTTAACTGGAATTCAAGTTCTCATTTACTTATGACTATCCGTTTTACGCAAAATATGTTTCAAAATTTTGTGGGGTTTCTAAAAATGTTTATTGTCAAATGTCTGGGTATGAATGTTCTTATTAATTTTAAAAATTGTCAAATTAACTTTTGTAAATTGCAAAAATATGAATAAGTTATGCACGAATGTGTGTGTGTGTGTGTGTGTGTGTGTGTGGTGTATGTGGTGTGTGTGGTGTGTATGTGGTTTGGTTTTTATTGTTTTTATTTGTGTGGCTACATGTGTATTCGTGTGGTGTGTGTGAGCGTGTAAGAAAAGTGAAATTTGAAGTCAAATTTGGAAACTGTTCACGGTCGAATAGACTTTTTCAAAATATTTAATCATTTATCCATTTTACAGTAACGCCAGCCAGCCATCATCCATCAATTGTTTATTGACCATTGTAATTTATTGAGAGCTTTACATCACATGTTTTAGTCAATTTCTGTTACATGCCATCCGCCTGTTACATGCGTTTGGAATGGTCTTTTAATGCTATGTTATGGTCTGATCATGAAATGTTATGATCTATTGATGTTATGCGTGATCTATTGTTGTAATACTTTGGTCTATTTATTTAATGTTATTGTAATAATGTAATGTTATGGTCTATTGAGGTAATGGTATGATTTAATAGTGTTATATAATGGTCTTTTAATGCAACGTTTTGACCAAATGATGTAATGATAATCCGACGGGGGAAGTTCAAGTTTTTCGGTCACATCGTGTGGAAGGAAAGAATGGAAAATCTAAAAACTACTAGAGAAGTTGCAGGAAAAAGAACGAATAACATTCGTGAAGTCCTTATGTCAGTAGACATTGTATATAATGCTAATACTATTTCAGTATTTAATAAAAATATAAAATTAGTCGCTGATTAAAATTAGTTTTTTTTTCGATGATTTTTATAATTAATTCTAAATTACGAAAATAAACATTTTAGCTGAAATTTCAACATAAAATTTATCAAGCTTGAAATTTTCAAATCTAAAATCTGAAGGTTAATTTGGATTCAGCATACAAAAATGTACCTTTTTGTAACCCCTGGTTTTTAAAAATCTAAAAAAATCAATTTCCGGTATAAAATTGACACACCCTATTGTGTCACTTGTCGAATATCACCACATTTCAACTCTTACAAAGTGTTAAAGATCGGGCTTTGTAGAGGTCCATAGTCGGCAATGTCATGGAAGGATGAAGTTTTTAATGATAGCAGACCAAACCAAAAAAGTTAGTTTGATACAAACAACGATGTCCAGTTTAAAAAAAAACACTATCAACGATCTCAACCAACCGATGATGAGAAGCTTGAACATGTAATCAAAGTTCTGGTCCTGGTTGCCCTGTGGTGCAAAATTGTTGGGCTGCTGTTGCTGCAGCTGTTGCGGTTGCTGCATTTGTTGCTGAGGCGGCATCTGTTGCTGTTGCATCATGTTGGGGTTGTAGTTGTAGTTTTGCTGCATTGTTGTGATAGTTTATACTAAACAGCTTGATCAAATTTGAATGATGAACTTTTTTTTTTAATTTTTTTCAGCAAAAAAGCAACTTTTATTTCAAGCAAAGGTTACGAATTCAAGTTTGAAAAAATGTTTATCCGAAATTCTTTTTTTTTGTTTAATTTCTGAAAAACTTCGTCATCGACCGACAGCCAAATGATGTTGGAGTCTGCGTGAATCAACTGCCAATGTTGACAACAGGAATACTGCTTCTATTGCTGTTGCTGCAGTTGTTAATGGTATTGTTGTCGCTGATGTTATTGCTGTTTTAGATATAGTTGATGTTTTTTTTGACTTTAACAAATCAAGGCAATGACATTTTTTGAGTTTTTAAATTCATTTAATCAACTCTAAAAATTAGATTTTAAAGGATTTTTACAAATAAAACCATCAAATAAACGATTTATATATTTTTTTTACAAAACCTTTTCTACTCGTCTAATGATGCCGATTCTATTTCCAAATAACATGAAAGCAAAATGACACACCGCGAATAATGAATGACTGCGTTCGACACAATTGTGCCTGCATGCAACTACATAGCTACATGGTAATCTGTGGGCATGTATGTATGTATGTATGTATGCATGTATGTATGTATGTATGTATGTATGTATGTATGTATGTATGTATGTAGGTATGTATGTATGTATGTATGTATGTATGTATGTATGTATGTATGTATGTATGTATGTATGTATGTATGTATGTATGTATGTATGTATGTATGTATGTATGTACGTATGTATGTATGTATGTATGTATGTATGTATGTATGTATGTATGTATGTATGTATGTATGTATGTATGTATGTATGTATGTATGTATGTATGTATGTATGTATGTATGTATGTATGTATGTATGTATGTATGTATGTATGTATGTATGTATGTATGTATGTATGTATGTATGTATGTATGTATGTATGTATGTATGTATGTATGTATGTATGTATGTATGTATGTATGTATGTATGTATGTATGTATGTTAAAACCAAAACATGATGAGTGACACTGAACCGTCAAACATCAAGTAACAAATGGATTAACACTTTGATTTGTCGTTAATTGCACATGTATGTATGTATGTATGTATGTACGTATGTATGTATGTATGTATGTATGTATGTATGTATATATATATATATATATATATATATATACATATATATATATATATATACAACTATACAAGACAGCAGAAGTTTTCTGCAATGTTATGTTTGTACTGAATGCGTTCAGACAAGCATGTACGGATGGATGGATGCATCAGATCCATGTTGGTTTCAAATCTTCATCTCGTAATATTATTTAGTTTTCAACTTAATCATATCATACATTAAATTGACATTAAATCGTTTAAATTGATTGAATGTTTTATATTTAAATACCTTTTCCAAAAGTTATTTCTAAAAGTTATTTCTAATGCAACTAAATGCTATTTTTTCTACCTGAATATATATATATATATATATTTATTATTTTCATTATCTCTATACTGGTCTCGCTTTGAATTAAAAATTTTAGTCTTAGATAACAAAAATGTGTGAGCTGTTTTGGGCTAATGAATTTTAATGTATAAAGGTAGATTACTAACTGTATAAAAACAAACATATGTATACATAGCGAGGCGAAAAGAGTTTAATTTTGTATTCAAAATGTCCAAAAAGACTCAATGAAATGCTTATGAAAATTTATGACAAATGCAAAACGATTAGGCTATTTAAAGGGTTACTAATAATGGTCATCCTTATAGCGATGATAATTAGAACAATGGCGATTCTTATGGTAACAACGATTTGACGAAGAAATGGTAATCGGTAGCGAAAAATGACCAAACTTGATGCATGGATGTAATTCTGGAAATGAAAAACCTAGGGAGAAAGTAGACTATATAAATAATACATAATTGTCCTGTCTGAGCATGACCGGACATGCGTGAATTTTTGTAGTCTTTATTGAAAATTTTGTTTATATTATCCTTTATGGAGGGGAATTTATTTTTTGCATTTTGTATTCGCATGCACACACACACACACAGAAGAGAAAGAGAGAGAGAGAGAGAGAGAGAGAGAGAGAGAGAGAGAGAGAGAGACTAACATGAACAAATAGATTTTCACGTACTTGACTAAACATATATCCGTTTATTCTAGTTGCTTGCTTGTACGAACTTTTGCACAATACATCTTCATCATTTTACTCATACAACTTGTACATGTACACACGCATGCACACATACAAACTTACGCATACACTTAAAAAGACACATACACTTAAAAAGACACATACACAAACAAATTCATAAACACACATACAACATCACACACACACACACACACACACACACACACACGTACATGTAAACGTATTCAGCTGGCTGACATGATTCTCTCAATAGCGGTTATAAATCAAAAGATTAATGCCTACGTCTTGAGTGGAAATTAATTGGAAAATTTTTTAACAACATAAAATATTCAGTGTTGTGCTAACTACTTAAAAAATGTAGTTAACTACTATAGTTAACTACTTTGAAAAAATCTAGTTAGTAACTACTTTTCAACTACTTTGCACAACAGTAGTTAGTAACTACTCTTTAACTACCACCTAGTAGTTAACTAGTAGTTAACTACTTTCCAAACATTGCCATTTAAAAAGAAACTGGTGTTTACAACCTTTCGATACCAAATTACTAATTTTTGCAGTAGTTAACTGATAAATTTAAAGACAAACTAACTTTTATTTGAAAGGTTTTATTCATTATGTATGTATATTATGTAAAATGTCTATTATATGTGTCCATATACAATATGTTATATATATAAATATATATGATATATTGTATATATGTTTTATATATGTTTTGCTCATTGTTGTATACAACCATTTGTTATCCAGCATGTGATATGATTAGTCATGCATAGCAAATGCATATTAGATGACCATGTCTGTTTTCAACAGTAACACAACAATGCATGCACACAAATAGGGGCGATCAAATATTAGCTTATTATTATAAGTAGTTATGTAAAATAGTTAACTACTGTAGTTATTAACTACTAAAAAAATACTTAACTACTAGTTAATAACTACTTTGAAAAAAATAGTTATTAACTATAGCTTAACTACTAGCAAGTAGTTATTAACTAGTAGTTAACTATTTGTAGTTAATAACTACACACCACTGAAAATATTTTATTATTTTTTGTGAAAATAAATTTCCTACATTTCTGCTGTTTATTTGGAAGGAATATTTTCTTCACATTTTTATCATTAAACACCGAATATTTCTGTGACATTTTGAATGAAGATTTAGGACATACAACCGACCGGCCAATCTGGAATGAAAGAGACGTATTTAGATAAGTTTAAATAATAAATTTGATTATTTAGTATAATTGAAAAACATTTTACATTATTTTCTCAACCGCCAACATCTGTAGTAATTGTTAATTGTTTAAGCAAATATTCAAGAAACCAAACTGAATCATCCTAGCAACAAGCCAGAGACCCTGTCACTCTGTGTGTGTCTGTGTATGTGTGAATTTGTTTGTGTACGTGTATGTGTATGTGTGAATTTTTTGTGTACGTGTATGTGTGAATTTGTTTGTTTATGTATGTGTGTGTGTGAGTGTGTACGTGTGTGCGAGTGTGAGTGTGTGAATTGTGCGTGAACTCCCACGAGTCAGACAGGCTTCCAACTCTCATCTTTCCGTCTTTTAAAAATATTTCCAACAATCGCAAAAACTGAAAACAACGATAGAACGAAATATTTTTTTTCAGAAATTTTGAATACAATGAAATAGAAAAATTGAAACTAAAAAAAAACTATCCGTGTTGATATACAAGGACAGAAAAACATTTCCGATGAATTTTGAAATTTGTTAAATAAAAAAATATAATCTAAATAATTTCGTCTTAATGTGCACAAACATTTTAACGCCGAGAATAAAATTTTTAAAACGATGTAGTTTACTTCAAAAGAATGGTGAATTTAATTGGGAGCGATAATGACCCACCACCCCCTCTCAAAGTTGTTACCCACTACAGTCTGATGTTTAAGTGTTATATGATTTTTTCAAAACAAACTCTTACATTTTACATTATCAAAAAATATTGAATAACTGTAAATAAAAATGCTTTCGTTTAAATCACACAATCAACCATGAGAGGTTAAATTAATGGGAAGATATTGATCTATTTTTGCAGCAATACACTACATGGCAAAGAAACAATCTGTCTCTTTCTGTCACTTCTTTTAATTTGTTTGATTCTGCATCTATTTGTGTGTTTGTTTGTCTGTCTGTGTGTTTGTTTGTGTACTTGTATGTTTGCATGTATATATATATATTATCTTGTTTATATGTTTGTGTGTTTATCAGTTTGTAATTTTATATGTTTGTATTTTTGTTTTACTTGCTTTGTTGTCATGTTTGATTGCATATATATATATATACACGTCATGTTTGATTGCATATATATATAAATATATATATATATATATATATATATATATATATATATAAATGCGTGTGTGTGTGTGTGTGTGTGTTTATACGTCTGCCTGTCTGTTTACATGTTTTTACGTTTGTCTGATGTCTCATATTACCCATAAAGCCCAATATTGATAACATTTTGTTAAATTTTTCCAACTCAAACTCCCACAACGCGAAATCATTTGCTGAGATGTCTTGAATTGTGGTCTGTCCGTTTGATGGGATTGTTTGGAGAAGTTTTGAAAACTGTCCAATCAGTTGAGTGCCTGCTCTCTACAAGCTTTCGAAGAACTTGTTGAATTCATTGTGTCTGTGAGTGAATCGTCCTTGTGATATGAAAAAATTTATAAAAAATCATTGTTGCAACTTGGCAAGGAAATAAATTGTTGAAGCCCGAAATGACTTTTTGCTTTCAGACACACGCGTGCAACTGGCTTTTAATGAAAAAACACATTAGCCGCCTCAACATTACAAACCCATGAACACATGTCATGTAGGTGGGGTTGAAATGAAGCTCCCACAGAAGTTGGACACGCACACGAGTGTATGAAATCAAAGTTTAAAAATCAAATAATCGTACGCGAAATAACGACATCAACAACAATGAAATCAACAACTACACTAGCGAAAACTATCAAAGCATCGGCAGAGCAGCAAAAACAACAACGACAGTAACAGCGGCGACAACAACGTCAACACACTACACAACCAACAACATAACCGATTTCATTAAATTGGCAGCCATTGTTGTGGACAAACATTTTCTCAAACATTTCTACTAAAAGCTCCATCACCATCGTTATCGTCATCATCGTCGTCATCATCATCGCAATCACTGTCTTCACCCATTTCCTAATCCTGATTTTTATTGCCCCTGTAGTTGTAACGTTACACATGCAATCATTATCATGACGACTTGAACGTCATCATCATCAAAACTCAAACATCATCACCAACATCATCACCAACATCATCCTCATCATTATCCTCATCATCATCCTACAAACGTCGTCATCATCATCATCATCCTACAAACATCCTCATCTTCTACATATTCAACATCATCATCCTATAAACATCATCATCATCATCATTACCCTTCAGACATCCCTTCAACTTTATCATCTCCCCCACCATCATCATCATCATCGTTATCACCATCAATGCTTTATAGCTAAAAATACCCTCAAAATATTACCTTAGAATATTACCTTACCAAAAACTGCCTGTAAGATGGTACAGTAAAAATACGAAGTTTGATTGCAAAAGCACTTACCGCTACAACATCATCACATATTCCGCTAGCTATCACTCTACTAAAATACGTCAGGTTGGTGTGTTATGTTGAAGTTACCGGGTTTAAATGCAAAAAGATTCCTGCTTAACGGGCTGATGTATTGCTTTCAAGCGTACGAACGCGTCTACGTTGTGTGTTTTTTGGAAAATTAATTCTAAACCCCCATGAAGCTAAGTATGGGAGATTAATAAATATGAATAAGCATAAAAAAACATAAAAAAAACTAGACAAACATAAACAAACATCAACAAAACATTAACAAACTTTATCAAACAACAAACAACATCAACAAACAAACAAACATCATAAAACAACATCAAACAACAACAAACAAACTAAAACAAACATCAACAGACAACAACAAACATTAATAAACAACATCAACAAACGACGACAACAAACAACATCAACAAACAACAACAATCATCAACATAGTCATCGGAAAACCCCAAAAAATATTAGAAAAAATGCCGCAACATATCATGTTTCAATGTATTGAATTTTTTGAACGTGATAAATTAACAACTACGTCCATTAGATTTTGTTGTGTTTTAATAGCAACCATAACAACAACAACAACAACAATTGGAAAACACATCAACATCAATAGATGAAAAATGCTCCAACGACAAACATGCAACCTACTAAGAAGAAGAACAACAGCCAAACTACCACTTACCAAACAAACCTCCTTGAAAAATAAACACGCCAAGCAAGAACAATGATGGTAAACAGTCTCCAAAAAACACTATTGATCTCACAACAACAACTCAACAACAACAACAATGACATTAACATTTTCAAAACAGTCATGGCAACAACACTTTTACAACAAAATGACAACAACCCTCAAAAAACAACAACAACAACATATTCCTAACAGCAATGACAACAATTTTTTTTATAGCGACGACATTGATACAACAACAATAACAACAACAACAACAAAAACGACAACAAAAACGACAACAGA